ACAAAAGCCACTCAGAGTCCACCGGCCAGGCTGTACAGGACAGGCAGGCTCATTTCTTGTGGGGCCTGGCTTTGCCTGCTCGCTGGTTGGAAAGGGGCTGAAGCACCCAGAAATAGCCGTTAGCCTGCAAGGTGGGGGCAGAGTAGCCTCAAATGGGGGGCACGTCCAGGGCTGTGCCATGTGGAGAGATGCTACAGGTGTCCAGATCAGCTGCTGCCAGGAGTTGGAGCTCTGAGAGAGCCCAGGCAGGCAGGGCCGTGGACACACAGATGGTAGCTGGCGTCTCAGGGGGGCGAGGAGGCCCTCCTGGCCCCGCCTGCCTTCCCCGTCTCCTCTCTCTGTCCGGAGGCACCCGGGGCTGGCATCTGTGAAGCACCTTCTCCTCCAGCCGCACTGCTGACACTTGAAAGGAAGACCCAGCTGGCTCCCCAGGGGGGGCTGGCGGTGTGCAGTGGACCCCTCCCTGGGGCAGGGCCTGGCTCTCAGCAGGTCAGCGCCCACCTGCTTGATCCCAGCAGAGAGTCCGGGGCTGCAGGACGGGGCAGGCAGTAGGCAGATCAATGCTAGGCTGTCTCCTGCTGGGGCAGGATCGGAGCCTTTCATCCACGCTAGGCCAGCACCCCGGGCACCAGACTGACTTCCTCTCGCTTCCACTCCTCCTGGTGATGCCAGCCCATAAAGCTCCTTCCGGACAGAGCCGACCCGCTGCCCGACCTGCTGCACCTGGGGGAAGGAGGCGCCCAGGCTCCAAGGCCTCTGGCCGAGGCTGGAAGTCCTGCTGCCTGGTTCCAGATGCCATCACGTGGTTGCAGGAGCCTGTTGTGGTTGGGGGTCAGCCCCGTTCCTAGGGTCCCTGTGTACAACAGGAGAAAGCCCCGCCAGTCCTGTGCCATGCTCACAATTGGTTGTGTCTGGCGGCTGTGGCCGCCTCTGCGTCAGTCATCTGGCCAAAGTCTCCTCCTTCTCCTCTTGGAGCGGGGGCTTCCCTAAGGGAGCTTCCCTTAATCTTGTCTGTTCCTTTGTCGGGAAGACGTTTATTTTTCACGTGACTGCAGTGAACGTATCTAACATAAAAAGTTGTCCATTTGCAGGGCTCCCAGGCGCGTCGGGGTCTCCGCGGTGCCTAGGGGCCCCCACTGCTTATTTCTAGGCTTGTTTCCCATCTCCCCCAAAGCAGAACTCGATGCCCATTGAGCAGCAGCTCCCCTGGCCCCTCCCCCAGCCCCTGGTGGCGTCTAATCAACTCTCCCTCTCTGTGCACTGGCCTGGGAGAGGTGTTTCTTTTGCTTGCCTGGATTCACACAACATGCGCCCTTGTGCATCTGCCTCTTCCACTCAGCACAGTGGTTTCCAGGTCCGGGTGGTGCCACGCCGGGACCCGAATTCCTGGGTGTCGGTGGAGGCCGGCCCCTTGTGCAGAGAGGCACGGAGAGCTGATCCCGCCACCTGTTGGTGGAAGCCTGGTGTCGCCGCCACGTTTGGCTCTTGTGAGTCAGGCAGCAGTGAACGCTGGGCAGACATACCTGTTGGAGGTCCTGCTTCCACGGTCACTTTATGTGTCACGTGGTGAGGACTGTATGCTCTTGACTACGGAGACCGCTCTCACTCCTGGTGACCCTGTGTGCCACAGGACGGGGCACTGCCCGGCCTGGGCTGTCCCCACTGTTCGTTTACACAGCGGCTGCCCCTGGACAGTCTCTCCAGCAGCACATGGGGCTCTCACTTCTCCACGTGCCAGCCAACGCTTCTGGTTGTCCCCGCTTCGCTGAGAAGAGCCATCTCCGACCATGTCACGCCTGGACGAGACTCAAACCCCCCAGAGCAGAAGACGCCACACCATGAAAGTCTCCCTCCCTCCAGAAGAGCTCTTTTAAGCACATGCAGAGGTGTGCATGCATGCAGAACAAACGAAAGCCACACAGCCGGGGCTGTGGAGCAGATTCTGGCTCAGACGACCCTGAGGACAGACTAGCCATGCCTCCTCGCGAGGGGGGGGGGGCATGCAAAGCTGTACACCTTGATGGAGACAGACAGCCACAGCTTTCTCCCAGAGACCAGCCCACCAGCCCGAAACCCCATCCATGGCTATCAAGTCGATCACAGCCAGAGTGACCCTGTGGAGCCCAGGGGAACTGCCCCTGTGGGCTCCTCTCTCTCCCTGGGACAGCTGATCAGTGTGAGTCGCCGGCCCTGTGGTTAGCAGCCCAGTGTGTAGCCACCAGGAGCTTCCTCCTATGTAACATGTGGCATCCACTCCATTAGCCACGGGGCGGTGCACCCCCCACCAAGACCCAAGGCCACCTGACACAGAAACCCAGTGCTTCCTCAACACTGACCAGCCCTCGCTCTCCCTCCTGCCCCGGGAAACTCGGGTCCGTGAGCTGCCTACCACAGGCGTGTGATCAGAAAGTACTCTTCCTTTGTGACTGACTGGCTTCATCAGGGGTTCAGTCTGCCTTTTGAGTAGTGTTTCATTGCAAGGAAATGACAGCTTGTGTTTACCCAGTCGCTATTAATATCGGGTCGTTTCCAGCCTTTGTGTAATACAGAAACAGCTGCTCTGAACATTCACGGGCCAGGCTCCACATCACTGCTGGAAGTCAGTGCTGGGGCTGGGGCTTTACGGCACTGTGTGTGTGGTGTGTGTGGTGGTGTGTGCCTGGTGTGGCTGTATGTGTGTGGTGTGTATGTGAGCCTGTGCGTGTGTGGTGTATGTGTGGGATGTATATGAGTATGTGCATGTGTGGTGTGCATATGTGTGTGTGGTGCGTGTGTAATGTGTGTATATGTGGTATGTGGTTGTATGCATGTGTAGTGTGTGGTATGTGTATAGGTGGGGGTGTATATGTGGTGCGAGTATGTGTGTGCGTGTGTAGTGTGTGTATATGTGGTGTGTGTGTGTGGTATGTGTATGTGTGGTGTGTGTGCATGTGTGGTATGTGGTGGGCCAGGATCCCGAAGCTGTTGAGCACAGCAACCATGTTGTCGTCTGATGGGAACCACTACACCAGCTGTCAAGTCCCGAGATCATCAATGCTAAGTTGCATTAGGATTGTGGGGAGTCGGTTTCATTGCAAGTATTCCCACTTAGACACTGTAATAAGAAACCCCCAGAAAGGACCCTCAGAGATGCCAGCTGTGCCCAGCACCTCTGCCCCATGGCCACGGGGCCAGATGCCTGCAGCAGCAGCATGGGGGGAAAGGGAGACCCAGCTCTTTGCAGGGTCCTGGAAGTTGGGGGCCTCAGGGATTGTTAAAGCACATTCCTCCAAGACTCCCCAGCCTCCAGCCAGCCAGCAAGAACCCAACCACTGAGACAGGCAGGATGGCATTTGAGCCCAGACCTGCCCCTTCTAAGCTGTGTTACCTACTGAGCAGGTGGTCTGAGGATGAGAAGAATCCTGCTCAGTAGGGGGAGATGTGCAGAACAGAATTCCAAATTCTCATAAAACCCAGAGCTGGTGAAGCCACTGCGGCCAAATGAACCCCTGGCACAATGGCCCTGACATCACCTTTTGAACTTAAACCCTACACCCCAACATCCCCTCCAGTCTTCTTAGAACCAAACCATCCTTGGACTTAGCTCATGTGTAACTAGCGGTCGGTCTGCCCTGAGCCATGTGCTCTTTGGGGGTCACGTGTCGAGTCAGGTCTCTGTGGGACCGTAATGACAGCAGCTCATGGGAGGTCCTCCAGCAGACACGGAGGGCGGTGTGCTCCTCACGGGGAGGGGCCATTCGGAAAAGGAGACCAAGCAGGTGCACAACTTGAAGGTGATGCGAACGCGCTGGCTCCTCCTTGTAGAAGCGCTTGCATTGGGGGATGTTGGGCTGTGCGTGTTCTCAGCAGAAGAAAAGCATACAGTACATTTCAGCAAGTAAAGTAGAAGGGGGGGCGGCGTGACTAAGCAAGCCTTCGCCTCCCTGAGCCTAGTTGCCATGTGTGAGTGTGTTGTATATGTGTGTGTGAGAGAGAGAGAAGCAGAGACGAGACGGGAATAAAGGGGAGGATAATGTGGGTGTCTCACACAGGCCTGGGCGCACAGGGGCCCCCAAAGGAAAGTGGAAGGGGGGTGGGATCAAGCCAGCACCTACCCTCTGTTGTCAGGAACCCCCATTTGCAGAGTGCCGCAGCCTCAGAGCAAGGCAGCACTGTGGCCAGACAGCAGTTCCCGGAGGGCAGGGTGCCCGGCAGAGCCAGCCTGGCTGAGAGGGACAGATCTCTTGGGAAGATGGGTGGTCATCAGTTGGATCTGAGAGGTCCTGGGAGTCTATGGGGTGACCCCAGCTGTCCTCTACTGGTCAGGATGAGACCTGTGCATTGAGTGGGCAGAGCCGGTTGTGTGGGGAGGGAAAGTGAGGTGTGACAGGTGAGACCAGAAGAGCTGGAAGCCTGCATGGCCTAATTCGGGGACATTTCAGATCCCCTTTGTCCCCTAAGATGCCATCTACCTCATCCTTTCCTGTTCCTTGGTCTCTGCAAGAGGATGGACAGGTGGGGGTGGGCAGGACGTATTAGAGAGGCCCCTGGTTAACCTGTGCCCACACTAGTCTGCCTCCCAATCTGAAGCCCAGCTAGTGCCAGAGGCTGGGCAGGATGTCACACTCCTGCAGGGGACCCAGCCCCTCAGCCTCCTGCGCTGCTGCTGGCCAGTGCCCCCTGAGCCCAGGTTCCCAGCAGAGCTCCGCTGCCCCATCTGTCCCTCTGTTGAGGGTGCTGAGGGTGGGGAGGGAAAATCGAAACCATGGATGGAACTGGTGAGGTCTCGGGCCCTCGTTCTCTGAGGGCCCCCCCATCCCATCCTCTCGGGGACTCTCAGGTGCTGCACCCTCCTCAGCCTGCTCTTCCTCTGTGCCCACCCTCCTGACCTCTTCCCCTGCTGCCTGTGTCCTCCCCCTGTGCCTCGCTCTGCGCCCACTGGCTTCCTTTAGCCCCTGAGCTCCGTCTGTCCCACACCCGTGGCCTTGTCTGTCTATCTGGCATGCTTGTCTCCATCCCCGCCAGTGTGTCTGCCTCTGCGGCCCCTCCCTCTCCTAGACACCCTGGGGAGCCTGCTCTGACACTCTGGTAACGCTCCCTTCCAGATCGGACTGGTGGTCACCCTGGTGGCCACAGTGGTGGCCATGTCCACCGTGGCCCAGCTCTGGGAGGACGAGTGGGAAGTGCTGCTGATCTCCCTGCAGGTAAGTGAGAGGCCTTCCCGACCACAGCCCAGAGACGGGCAGGGACGGGCCTGGTCACACAGCGAGTCAGAGGCAGGGAAGGTGCTAGGACGCGGGGTCTCTGAGGCTCTCGGTCCCTCCATTGGGGGGATGGAGTGCAACAGACAGGCCATTGATGCGCTGTGCGGCCCCTCTTACTCCCCTCCCCCCACAGGGCACAGCCCCGTTCCTGCACTTGGGGGCCCTGGCCGCCATCACAGCCCTCTCCTGGGTCGTGGCGGGACAGTTTGCCTGCGCAGAACGGACCTGTGAGTATAGCGGGCTAGAACCTGGCCCTTCAAGTCCCGAGAACTTCACCTGGGCATGAAGTGGGGCCCTCCCTGGATGCAGAGTTGTGTGTGTTTGTGTCTGTGTGTGTTCCTATTTGGGTATGTGTCTGTGTGTCTATGTGGGTGAGTGTCTGGGTCTGTGTGTTATCTCTTTGTGTGTCTGTGTATGTGGGTGTCTGTATGGGTATGTGCCTGTGTCTGTGTGTGTGTCTATGTGGGTGTCTGTATGGGTATGTGCCTGTGTCTGTGTGTGTGTCTATGTGGATGTGCATCTGTGTGTGTGTCTCTGTATGTGTCTTTGTGTATATCTGTGTGCATGTGTATGTGTTTGTGTGTGTTGGGGCCGAGAAGGGAGTTCAGGGAAGGTTATAGCCTTGTCTGCCTGGCATTCATATGTATGTGTGTGTGTGTGTCTGTCTTTGTCTGTGTATATGTACGAGTGTCTGTGTGGGTGTCTATATATGTGTTTGTGTGGATGTGTGTGTTGGGGGGCGAGAAGGGAGTTCAGGGAAAGTCATAGGCTCATCTGCCTGGCAGTCATTTGTGTGTGTGTGTGTGTGTGTGTGCGCTCGCACAGGGGAGCCAGGCCAGCTCACCTCCCCAGCAAGAGTTTGGGGTCTCCACAGAGCCCCTGAGCACTGCAGGGTGGAGGGAGGTAGACCCATCAGCCCACACCAGGGCGGCCCGGGCTCACTGGGGCACTCCTGCCCGCCCTCTGCAGCCTCCCAGACGGCCATTCTCTGTCCCTTCTTTGCTGTGGTGCTGGCCCTCTACCTGGCCCCCCTTTCCATCTCCTCCCCATGCATCATGGAGAAAAAGGACCTGGGACCCAAGCCTGCCCTCATAGGCCACCGCGGGGCCCCTATGGTGAGTGCCACCTTCGGGGCCTGCCCCGGGAGCAGAGCTGCCATGGGCTGGGGCCGGAGGGAGATGGGTAGTGGGGCTGAAATGTATGGGGGGAGGGGGGGATGGATGGGTGGGGGGATGGATGGATGGATGGGGGGAGGGGTGGGTGGGTGGGGGGTGATCCTGTCTAAGGCTGCCCCGTGGGGCCCTTGTGAAGGTCAGAGATGTGCGGGAGCACAGTGCCAAAGGTGAGTGTGCGCACGGAAGGAGCTCGTGCACAGGCCTGCGTCTCTGTTCCAGACCAGGGTCTCCCCGCCCTGGAAGGCCAGGAACCAGGGGTTCTTAAACAGGGCAGTGCCACCTGCTGCCGCCAGGGCGCACGCGCATGTGCGAGAGAGATGGACAGACCAAGCCAGGGAATGAGAGGGAGTTTTCCCAGCGGTGGTCCCACTGAGACTGGGAATGCCATTGGGTTTTTTTCCCCTTCCATAAAAGGGGCCTCCCAGGGTGGCTGTCGTAGAGGGAGAGAGGGAGTCCGGCTGGGTGGAGAGAGTCACTTCACTCCTCATGTGGGCTTCAACTGGACCATGGTCCCCTCCCAGCAAACCCTTTCTGGTCCCAGTACCTCCCAGAGACAGGAACCTGGGAAGGCCAGGGCCTCCGAGTCAGAAGGGTCTGGGTGGGGGTCCCTGTGTGCTGCTGGGAGCTGTTGTGAGGACAAGCTGGGAGCTGGCTCTCTGGGTGGGGGGGAGGAGCGGGGCCCGAGTGAGGAGGGGGTCTCCTTCAGGACTCTGGGGTCCCGGCTCCTCTGCCCTTCCTGACGCAGCGCATCCATCTCACCTGCTTCGCAGGCAAGGGGGCAAGAGGGAATGTGCCGAGGCAGGAGCGGGGGTGGGGAACGGGAGGAGAGGGGTGGTCCAGCTTGGGTGATTATTTTGCTAGGAACATTACTACCAACAGACAAAGATGCAGGAAGAATAGTGCAGGGGGTCACAGCGTGGCGAACAGGGTCATGAACCCATGCCTGCTCAACATTTGTCAGTATTTGCCATTCCTGCTTCCTCTATCCCACGCTCTTAGAAAACCCGCCTTAGTTGGCACTTTAAAGAAAATCCCTGACGGCCTATCGCCTTACCCACGCGTACCTCTAGACGTGCCTCTAAGGCACGAGGAACGGGCAATAGGTGTGTCTGTGCATGTCCACCGCTGTTCCCCCACCCTGTAAAACGAGAAGACAGCAGTAAGCCCTTAGTATGATCTAAAACGGAATCCCCATTCCGCTGTTGTTGTTTTTTAATCAACTCGAAAATACTCTTTTACAGTCGCGTGGTTAAAAATCGGGGCCCAGACTGTGTGTGCGGTTGGCGTGCCTCCCAAGCCTGGGTCAGTGAGACTCCCCTTTGCCCTGCTGCTGGTCTGTGGAAGCAGCGTCTGCCTTGTTGGAGAGCCCACAACGGGCACCTCGTGGCCGCATCAGCGTGGGCGTCTGAGGGGCGGTGCCCACACCTGGCACATCTCCTCTGTGGGTCTGTCCTAGTGTCCTCAGATGAGAGAGCCCGAGGGGGGCGGTTCTGACTCTGGGCCCCCTTGTCTGTGTGGGAAACCCAAGGGCAGTCCCAGTGTCCTGGGATATTTGGTCAAACCAGCTCGATTCGTGTGTGTGTGTGTGTGTGTGTGTGTGTGTGTACACACATGTGTGCACTCTGGAATGTGTGTGTGTGTGTGTGTGTGTGTGTGCACTCTGCAATATTTGGTCAAGCCAGCTGCAAGGCTGGGATTCTTAACCAGGGTGTTGCCCTGCTCGTCCACATTTATGACCACCGCCAGCGCCCCCATGCGCTCAGACCGGGGCAGGTGGGAGGTAAGGATTACGCATTTACTCCAGGACCCTTGGATGCTTCTTAGGATCCCTGCGGAGCCCCTTGGAGGCAGTGTCCCTGCCCTGCCCAGGAGGCCGTCCCTCGGGACACTGACTGTGGGTAACAGCCTCCAGGAGGTCGAGGCCCTGCCTGCCTCTCTCCTGTCTACCCACAGTCCACCTTCTGTACTGGGGAGGTCTCACCGCAGGACATTCAGAAGAGGGGCAGGTGGATGGAGTCCACTGAGTCCATGCCTCTCCCGTGTGCCTCTGGGCTCCCCACCCCACCCCCCATGCCACCCACTGGACTGGAAGAACTCAAGTACCATACGCTGCTTGGGGGGCCGGGGACCCCCTTGGGTGCCAGGCCCACAGTCGCTGACGTCTTGTCTCACTGTGAAGTTGATAACAGCCCCACCCCCTCCCCTTTGTAGCTCAAGAAGGGAGGCTCTGGGCAGTGAGGGGACTGACCCAATGTTGCTGGAAGGTGGCACTGCCCTCACCCACGATGAGCGCTGAAGCCCTCCCCACCCTCCTCCTCAGAGGGGAAGAGCGTGCTTCCTTTTAGAGAACATGGGCCCCACGGGCCAAAGGGAGAGAAGGCGGGGATGAGTGTATCCTGGGGGGTGGGGGCGTGTGGGCAGAGGCTCTGCTGTTCACCCTGACTGTGGGTAACAGCCTCACAGTCTGCTCAATAGTTGCATGGCTCCCTCTGGCCTCTCCCCAGGCCTAGCCCAATCCTCGGTTTAGGACTGACCCCTAGTGGCGGCTCAGAGTATGACATGGTCCTTCAGACCTAGGGATGGAGAGGACCCATAGGAGAAGGAGACACGCCCAGGCGTCTATGTGATGCTAGTTAATGGCAGAACCCAGCCAAGGACCATGTGCTCTGGACCACTGGTTCCACTGACTCTGCTGTGTTCTCAGAGGCTAGTGCAGCACCCAGCACCCAGTCTGAAACCCACATGCCTCCATTCCCACACCTGGTGACCCTACAGGACAGGGCAGAACTCTAGGGTTGTATGGGAACTCACAGCCTCCTCTTTCTCCTGCAAAGTGGCTGGTGGGTTTGAACCATGGCCCTTGGGGTTACCAGCCCCACCAGAGGCCCAGGCAGTGTGCTGGGGACTTCAGATCCCTGACTGATCGCATAGACGAGGAAACTGACAGTCCTATTGAAAATCTGGCAACCCCTTCTCCCCTCCCTCCAGGAGCTTAGCACTCAGGCTTGTCCCAGGCCGGCCACGGAGGCACAGAGGACAGCCCACCTCCAGCTCCAGCTCCGTGCCCAGAACACAATGATGATAACAGTACCGTGACCACGTCATGGTTCGGTGGCTTCTGACTCAGCCCTCCCTGCACAACACCGCCCGGTCCCCCGCCATCCTCTCGATGGTCTCTGTACCTGAGCCCATTGTTGTAGCCACCGTGTCAGTCCTTGTGAAAGCCCACC